GCTGCTACCGCCCCGGGCTATAAACGGGGCTTTTCCCCGTCCCAAGGCACTACCGAATGTAAATGTGGGGGGAACGTGGGAATGGGGAAGCTGGAAGTGGGACGGCGACAGCTCGGTCCCACGGCCTGGCGGTGGGGCGGGTGATGGGAGCTGGAACAGCCTCCGCTGCGGCCGCAGGGAGCCCTCAGAGGAAGGGGGGGAGGGATGGGAGACCGGGGGTGCAGCTGCTATAACGCAAGTTATTGCTGCTCCCCCGCAGCACTGCGCCTCACAGCAGATACTCAGCAAACGTGCTCACTTGCCTTGGTGTCATTGCAATGAATCCATCTTCCCCATCGCCACCACCGAGGCAGCCTCGGGAGCTGGCCAATATTAGTTCGGGTAGTTCGCTAAAGAAGCTTTTCAGCGTGTAACAAATAACAGCAATAACGATTTCCTACAGATTCTTCTCCTGTAAGGGTAGGAAAGCAAGTACTGCGTTTCCTGCACATCATCAGTACACAGGACATCAGCAAATCCGAGACACAACACTGCTGTCATGTGCTGTGTGATCAGTTCTCTTTGGCTCACTGTTGGCAGCATAGAATAACAGTCCAGCATTGGTTTAATCCTCAGGAAAGTTCTTGTTTTTCACTGAAGCACTGTTTGTTTGCTTGTTTGGAAACAGGTGGAATGGCATACCAGTCTTTTAGAGGTACCTGCTCAGACTAAGTTTGATTACATAGTGACTGACCTAAATGGAGGGCCTCAACCTCCCTCATACTATGAGGAGCAATACAAAAAGACCACATTCAAGGTGAGGCTGTCTTTCACAGTGGTTTTGTGCTCCCTCTGTAGACTTTGTTTATTTCCCGATTGTACTGGAGACCCTTCCTTTTCTTTGCACTTAGGGTGGTGCAATTGCAGGACAGCTGACAACAGTAGGGATGCAGCAGATGTTTGCCCTGGGGGAAAGGCTGAGGAAAAGCTATGTGGAAGAAGCCAACTTTCTCTCACCAACATTTAAGCCTGCTGAGGTTTTGTGAGTCTCTCGATTCCCTCCTGGACCTTCCCTTGCTTCGTCCCTCTTAACGAGTAGCCCTGTGCTAGGGAAACTTTCTGAGCAGCATACCTTTCTCCACCCTGGAGCAGACTGGCTGGCCCCTGTGCCTTCATCTTTGCTCAGCCTGCAGAGCAAGAACTCGTGAGACAAAGCACCCAGTTCCCCATCAGTCCTGAGAGCGATGCCAGCGACAGATTAATCTCACCTAGGTTTAGCCATTGACAGTGGTTACGCACCTTTATGGTGAGTGAAGAGAAACAGGCATTTTTGGAGCACAATTTAACTCACTGTAGATTAAATAGCTAAAGTTCAGTGAGATGAAGCACACCCCTGCTGCTCACATCAGTAATGCTGGGCGTGTCTGGTTTAGGATGAGATAAAAATTACACCAGAAAAGCATCAATACCTCCACTGTCTCTGAAGGGAAGTTAAAGAGCAGTTCAGATATAGGTGTCTATAGTGAGGCAAGATGAATCCCACCACAGGTTTCCAGAGCCACAGGCAAAGCAGAACCCTCAGTTCCAGCAAGTCCTCCCCAGCTGCAGCTGCATCCATATGAAGGAGAAAGCGTTACCTCACAAACTGCTTTCTCTCTTTCAGCATCCGTTCCACTAATATTTTCCGGAATCTGGAGTCTACACGCTGCCTGCTAGCTGGGCTGTACCAACAGCAGAAAGAAGGTTGGGGAGACTTCTGACCAGTGTCTTTCCTTTCTCAGTCTTCCCTAGATGCACACACCTTGCACAACCCAGCTCTCTCTGGCTCCTGGTCATTACGTCTTCCCCGGTTCTTCACCCCTGGCCCTCTTCCCCATACTCTCCTGGTTGTTTATGTTCTTTGTCACCTTGTCACTCGCTCCCTCTCTTTGTGTAGCTTTTTGCTGGTGCTCAGCTTGGATCTGTTGCCATGAATGCTGCAATTTCAGACCTGCTGAGGAGGTTAGCATTAACCTGCTTCAGAATCAAGAGGGTAAAAGTTCCAGTTCCAGTGTTCATCTGAAAAAAAGTTTCTCAGAGAAACACAAGTATTTTGGCCATAGAAATATCAAGATCCTTTATAAGTTCAGTATCTGGAGTAACTTTCAGCTGTATCCTACAGTTGACAACTACATGTATGTCCTAGAAATATGCTCTGGGTTTTGAAGATCTTACTTCTGTTCCCTCTGTATTCAGTTCCAGGAACAAATAGCAGAAGTGAGTTGCCAGAGCTCCTTACACCTCATGACACAGAAACTAATTTTTGTTACATACAAATACTAGGAAAAAAAAAAAGAAAAAAAAAAAGGTGCAACTAGAAAGCTTTACAAGGAGCACAGCAGACAACCCTGTGGAATTAAATGCTCTGTGCACAGAAACAAGCACAGTGGCTTGTGTTACAGGTGATACAGCTCAGGGGGAATTGCTATTTGACAGCAATGGACTTGAGCACAAAGACTGTGGGAGTGATTAAAGCTGTCTGAAGACACAGATACACTATGATCACAGAAGCTTCCTTCTTGTTCCACAGGATCTGTTGTCATTGTCACTGATGAAGCAAGCTCTGAAATCCTCTACCCCAATTACCAAAACTGCCAGCGCCTGAAGTGTTTGAGCAGGTAATTGCCAGCCATACCTCCCCATATGATTTCACTGCTGTTTCATTTCAGCAGTAGTAATTTAAAACAGCATGCTTTCTTCCCATTTCCCTGTTTCTTCCCCTGCCACTTACTGTTCTTTGGGAATGGTTAGCTAGTTGTATAAAATACTTTGTGAGCAGAGTCACATACCAAGCAGTGGCACCAGAAGAAAATAAAAAATAGAGACTTTTTCTTGAAAGACCAATTTAATTTAATCTGTGTGTCTAGCAAACACTCATTACTAGCTAATGTACAGCTATTCTGCGGCCTTGCTGCAGGGCAGAATTAATGTCACCTACATCTCTTAACACGCCTTTCAAGTGTGAACATATTGGGCCTCCTTTTTCTATTCAGCTTCTGGTCTGGGGGTTATTACAATATTCCTGCCACATTTATACCTTGAAGAAACTGAAATACACTCAACCTTTACACATCTAACAGAGACTAATGAAGTAAAATAAGGAACATCCTACATAGAAAGAACACTCATGTTTGTAGAGTCAAGTAAATGCCTGTGCCAGGTTGGACATGAGGTGAAAACTGAACAAGAGAGGCAAATGTATTACAGTTTGGTTGGATTATACATTAGCATATTTTCATCCAAAATTCAAGAGTTGTCAGAATTCAATTGCTGAAGCTCATTATACAATGCTTGACTCTGCTGGCAAAGGGTTATTCTTGACAGCGTGAGGTGAGGCCCATAGAAGCAGCACATTCAGCTTCCTCTAGTAACATCAACTGTCCAAAAAGGGAGTAAACTGCAAGCTCTTCCACTCCCTCCCTGCCAGCCCACCTAATGGGCACATTTTGTGACCATGTCAAGGTGGATTTTTTTAAGCTTCAATAAGAAGCACTGCCTCAGTTTACAGGCTGTGTCAGAACTTCTAGCACATTTGATTTCAAACAGAAACTAGAGCCATTCATAAAAAAATTAAAAGCAAACTTAAAAAACTTTTCCTACCTCCTCCTCAACAGATCAGAGTCAGAGAAAACAAAACCTATGCAACGTATTTTGCTTGAATTGCATGGCCAGCATAGTCTCAACTAAACTTCTTAAAATAAAATTTAAAACAGTGTAAAGAGGCAAATGGCTTCTAACAAAGTGAGAGGTTAATTTAAGCTACAAGTGAGTATCTAGGCGTTTCCCTTTTCCCACACCATACACCAATCAGTTCAAAGCTTCTACCCTTTCTTCTTTCACGAAGCAGTTAAAGGCTACTCCCTGAAGACACAGAGTTGTACTGTTCCAGTATGACCAGATCTGTTAACTGATACACAACCAATGCTTATGGGAACCACTTCTGAAGTGCTCACATCTCATCTTAATTTTTCCCCCGCCTCTGTGAGAGCCTATAGCCAGCTCTGATCCTTGATATCTAGACACAGTGTCTGCAACTTAAGACTCCCAATATCAGGAATCCCTCAGTATCCTGTGGTGCTTCTCTTCTACCTCTCACTGGGCTGCGGTCACAAAAAAACCCCAAAAGATAGAAAACGTGATGCATGAAAAGTTGTTTTGTTTTCTTAATTCCCTGACAGGCATAAGATGGAGAATGCTCTGCAACAGCCAGGTATCTCTGATGACTTGAAAACAATTAAGGAGAAGATGGGTATTGATGGTGAAAAGTCTGTGGATTTTTTTCTCCTCCTTGATAACATTCTTGCTGAGCAGGTGAGCTGAGCAGTTCTGTTGCACTGTCACAGAAAGAAACATCCCTTTACCATGCATATGGAGAAAACCAGAGTGCGAACACCCACTAATACCAGTGGGCACTCCAGTATCTTTCTGTGCAATCCAGAAAGTGTATAGAAATAGCTTACATTAAAGCACAGCCTTTTTAAAAAGCAAGATGCAGAGTCAGCCTTGCTCTAGGATGGATGAAGACTCATCTCCAGTTCTGTTCTTACCTTGAAATCTAGTATCTCTTTCAAGTGTAATGAAGTATGGCTAAGAGAGCAGTTGGGCGTTGCTTACCCCGTTACAAAGTGCTTTCCATTTTCTGGCAGTCAGCACCTAATAGAGTCATCTCAGTTCTGGTTCCAACATACTACCTGCGAGCCAGATTGCTTCTGCTACTGGAAGGGAGCTGGGCATATTTGTACCCCCGTTAGTACTTCTTTTTTTGCTGGAGCTAATGGTAATTGGTCTGTCTGTGAGCTGAACAGCTGAAGGCATTACACTTTCTTCACGTAGAAATGTATCCTCAGGAACAAACATCCATCCTTTTGGTACACGGAGCAAGTCTGTATGTTTAAAACCATCCTAGAACTCCTCACATGAATACCATAGTACAAATGCTGTGACATGAACAGTTGTTTTCTGTGGGCAGTCATCCAGCTGTCTTCAGGCTGGATTCAAGGGGTCAAACCCTATTGTTATACCACATCTTCTCCTTCCAGGTGCACAATTTGCCAAGCTGTCCTGTGCTGAAGAACTTTCAGCAGACAGTTGAGCGTCGATCTGTTGACTCAATGCTTTTCCTTCTGGAAGACGATTCAAGGTGATTGCCTGTATCCATGCCTCCAGCCTTAGGGGTTGTTTTAGGCTTACCCAGCGTGGATGAGCTACACCAGCTTACTGTAGCAGAGCAAAGTCCTTTCTGATCTGCTGCATTCCTCCACCAGACGCTACTGCCCCCTCATGAGGTTTGTGCATCAGCCATCCTGGTGTGAAATCCAGCACCTTGAGTCAGGAACATGAGCTAGGACAGGAGTCTAGACGGAGGTGGCCAAGATGTGGACTTGAGCAGTCTCCGAGGAACAGCAGTAGCCACTGAGGTAGGCAGTAAATGCCTTAGCTGCCACAGTTGTTTAAGTGAACCTGTGTCAAAGGCAAAAGCAGAAGAAAATAGGAGATGCTTCCAGCCAGAGCGCTGAGGCTGCATAGGCAAGGCTGCCCTTGCAGATGTACAACTACAATCTGAATTCCAACCTGGGAAGTTTCTCCTAGGGATGGCACCTGCACAACTGGGCTGAGAAGTGTTGATGCTGGTGGAAAAGGTGATGCCAGGCCCTGCACGCATGTAACTACTTGCAAAAGAATCTGCTGCTCCATGCAGTTAATTACCTCCTCCACAGTTGTTTGTAAAGGTGGCTGAGTTGCTAGCCCAGCAGCTATCTTCCTTTCAGATTCATAGGACTGCCTTTTCTTTAACTTGTATTTGGGATCTTGGGTACTGAAAGACTGATTTCTCCCTCTCCAACAACACCTGGGAGAGCCACAGTCAGACTCATTCTCCATTTCCACTGATGTATCATTAGGTAGAGGGAGTTTCTTCACATCAGAAGTTGTCTAAACATCTCCTCTTTATCCCTGCCTTGAACAAAAAGAAATTTTTAAATATAGCTGCCACCTTCTTGAATCCCATTCCTCTCCTTCCTGCCAAAGACCCCAACCACTTCAGTTGCTGTTTTGCAGTCAACTAGTTACCTTCCCTAGCTGAAAACCATGCATCCAAAAATTACAACTAAGGAAACAAAATAGTATAGAGAACATCAAGGAGTTTCTAGGTTTCCCTTTATGTGGGCCACACCTCATGAGACTGCTTGTTAACACCTCTCCCCTCCCAATCTGCAATCACAGAACCTCAGCAGTGACTATGCAACTGCTGAAATAAAAAGTAACCATAGGAATTGCAGTTAATAGTTCTTAGCTACACTCAATACATGCTATCAATTTGTAAGAGAAAAACAGGTTCCCAGGGGTTTTGTTTGAAATTATTTAATTTGAAGGTTTAAAAACTAGTAGATTTATTTCTGCTTCTTTATAGAGTTCTTCAGATGAGTGTTGGTCTCCTTTTCTATACCTTACAGAAGAACATTACAGAAGCAGTAGATCCCTCATCTCCAGCTGAAAAGGCCAGGTACAGGGCAGATCTCTTCCTCTAATCATTATAAATTCTAACTTGCTGTCAGTGTGAAAAGCTGGTTTAGAAAAATGTTGAATGTGTGGATAAAGAGAATGAGTGCTCATCTGCTAGAAAAAGCATGAGTGCTACTGGCTATCCATGGGGGAGGAGCACAGCTAACACTTCATGTTTGGGTTTGTTTGTTTTTTTTCCTTTTTATCAGCAAGCTCATTCTCTATGCTTCTCATGACATTACCCTTATTCCTCTCCTTGTGGCACTGGGCACCTTTGATTGCAAGTGGCCACCTTATGCTGCAGATGTGACCCTGGAACTGTATCAGCACCAGCAGTCCAAAGAGTGGTTTGTTCGCGTGTCTTACCATGGAGAGGTAAGATCCCAGGAAAAGTCCATCACACAAATATTGGGCTTTTGGTTTTGCCATGTGTGCATGTAAAAGCTGTGAAACAAGACTTGTTCTGAGCATGCCATCAAGCCAGATAAAACACCTACAGCATATCCATGGTAGCCAAGTTCTCTTTTCTGTTGAGCTGGCTATTGATTTAGTGAGCTTAGGCAAAGGCTGTGAACCTCTGCCTCTCTGTGTCGTTGCCTTGACTAGGGTATTTCCCTGCCACAGAATGCATCAGTATCGGCAAAAAAGGGCTTTGGCAATGCACCAGATATGTGACTTTGTTTCTTTACCTTTGCAGGAGCAAGTGGTGAAAGGATGTAGAGCAGGCCTCTGCCCACTTGAAGAATTTCTACAAGTTCTTTCACAGTACTCGCTCAGTCCAGAGGAATACAATAACCTGTGCTCACAAACGGAGGAGAATCAGCAAACTGACTCATAAATAATTAGTCTTAAATTAAAACTCACTGTCACAATCTTGGACTATTCTTCTTTATGTTCCTGCCAGCCTTCCCTATTCTAAAGATATTTTAGATGAGGGGACTTTTTCCTACCAGACACAGGGTGGTACAGTGTCACTTTTCACTGTTAGCAGCACGATGAAAGAAGCCACATACAGAATGGCTTGTTCACTTCTGAGGTAGCCACACAAAAGCACAGAGGGGCTGAAAACAGCAAGGGAGAGAACAGACCTTTTAAAATTGCCCTGCTGCTTCAGGAATACGAAAGAAAAACATGAAAGAAAAACATACCTGTTCCTCATATGCTGGGACTATGGGATGAAGTCCAGCTTGCTCTGTGCTACCAGACTTGAGAACTTTGACATAATGATTACTTTTATGTATATCAAACTGCAGAACCCATGCTGGATGGTTGCTCTGCAGACTGATGAACCTCCCAAGTTGCATAACATTTAGCTACCCCATCTTCTTGAGGGCATTTTTGTGCACACAAAACCTCTCCAAAGGGACAGAAAGCTTCCAAACCTCTTCCCTGCACTCCTGTAATTATGGAAATTCTGCTGCAAACATGCAAAACCACCACAGTGGGTCAAGTACAAGAACATGCACTCTTGGTGAACTCTGATTAATGTGCTTTAAACAAGGAAGTCTGGGAAGCTACTATTGACTTCAACTTTGGGCAGTACTGCATTTGTTTTATACTTGCTGAAACAGGAACACACCAGCATAGCCAAGAGAAGTACTTCTAGCTGAGACTATGACACTTTTTTTCCTGTAAGACAATACTAAGGATCACTATGTTGCCAAAATCTCAATTTTTCAATCAGTCAATAAAACTTGGATCCTAACCTACTTCTTTAGGATATGTAAAGGCTAAAATAAGAGGGACCACTTATTAAAATGGCCCTGCAGTTTTGGTTGTCTCTTAGCAAAAACAGACTGCAGTGATGTTCATGTAAGTCATTGACAGATATGTGACTGGAGGCACTAGAATACCTTCTCCCTGAGAAGCGTGGGCTTGATTTACCTCTACTCTTTAATTAGCCTGCCCCCACCACAATTACATGTTGACACCACGCACCATGAACAGAATAATTTGAATACTAAATCCATTGCTGGAGGTCTCACTGAACTGCTATTAGAAGCTGTCAAAAAAGCAAACAAAACATTTGTTATTTTCCACCAAGTTTTTATACAGGCTAAAAACATAATGCCATTATATAAAAATCAATGGCGTACCCTTGCTTAAGAACAGTGCGTTCTGCTCTAATCAAGCTCTCTCTTATTCACTGTATAAAGTATTTGGAGAACAGCAATGGAAACTTGCAACCGTATGGCCTAATGTTATTTGCGAGGCACAGACTGCTTGGAAAAGGGTATCACGGAGTGGCATCAGAGGCCACTCAGAGTAGACAAAGAGGGAATTCACATACCTTCTCCTAAACAAGAGCTAGGAGCATCTCCCAGCAAAACTGAGCGATAACCAGGTTAAAAACGGTAACATGGTCAAGAACACAGAACTCAGCAGCATGAGCTGTCCTGGTGCACATAACATTGTTAAAGGACACGGCATTCACATAATTAAAATAATCAAATTACTCTAGGCAGGGTAACATAGAACAGCAGAAGACCTCAGAAAAACAGGCCAGCTTCTTGGCAGTGGCTAGGAAGAAGCCTCTGCTGGGAACAGGTTATTTCATCAATGTCTCTTGCAGGGTTTCTGCGGTGCCCTCTGTGCCCTGCTCCAGCATTACCCTTCCCTCTGTGTGGAAGTGGTTGGGCGACACGTGGGTCTCATCCCCCTGAGCAACTCCATGGCAGTCGCAGCCCACAGTACAAAGGACAAGTTATTTCTGTCCACAACTAGCATATATAATGATTTCAGAAGAGGACTGGTGGGACAGTGGAAGCGTTTTAAGACCAAAGGACAAAAGTAAGTGAGAAGTGCTGAACTGCGAACAAAGCATAGAAGAGCTGAGACATTTCTGAGAACAGGGAATAAAAATTTGCAGAAATCAAGAATTTCCCAAGGAACCAGTGCATTTATACAAATAGGCTGACTCTCTGCATAAACTGGGAAAGACAGCAATCCCAGAGGACAGAAAAAGAAATCCAAAACTTTCTTACCCTGGCCTGTTAATGTGAGAAATGCTGACATAAGCAGCTAACATGTTCAGCCTCAGGTTCCCTCAAACTTGAGCTGGAGCTGCTAACCCAAGTTAGTCCGCCTCCCTTGCTATTTTAGTCCAAAACAGTTAACGCAGGTTGATCAACTTAAACCTAAAAAACTTTTTTCTTTTCCATTTTGTATTGCAAACCTATTCTCATATAGTATGCTTCATTTAAGGCAATGTTAGTATTATCAGGAAAGATGTCAAATTCAGAGTTTTATTTTTTTCCTCATGTAAAATATACTCTTTTAAAGCTTCCAATATCCCAGACGAAACAGCATCACTTTTCTTTCCTCACTCATGCTCTGACTCAAAACAAAAACAATCATAAGCTTAAAACCTGAGTGTGTAACAAGTTGTGAGGACCTACATCTTGGCACAAAAGGTTTGCTGGTTGAAAGTCAAAGGAGATTGAGAGGATAGCAAGCTTGGTGTATTTGTCAATAAACCCAACAGAACAAAGTTAGCAGTTTGAGTTTGGGTCTTTTCAAGGCCTGAAGAAGACTCCTGATAATGTGCTTTAACCGTACGCATATAGAGCATGATAAAACTAGGTGTTACACATCTACTACAAACAGTGTTAATAGAAATAATTGGAAAATATGTGGACTGGCTAAAAATGGAAAAAATCTTTAAATTAGAGGTCAGCTCACCAGAAAGATGACACACAGCACAAGTGCGAGACAACTTACCGTTAAGTGAAGAATTACTACCAGTTGATACAGTGAAGTGCGTTCTACTAAATACGTGCCTACAAACACAGATCATTTATCCTCAAGAAATATCAAAATAGGGAACAGGTTTCAGCCAACAGCCTGCATGAGGAAAACGTTCATCACTGAGTGCAGAAGACCCCCACCAGTGAAATGCAGCTTTTTCTGCCACCAGCATAAAAACCAGCATAGTAGACAAAGTCAGCATACCAAGCGCTGCAAAATTAAGTCCTGTGTATACCTTATTTTTAATATCCCCGACACCTTAGCACAAGAAATGCTGTGTTCCAACAGTCTAAGGAGTGTGTTTAGGATTCACACCCTCAGGAAGAGTTGGGCACCCACATCCACTCCAAGTCAGGACATGTGTACTGTACCAGAAGCACCACCACTGTTCAAATCCCAACCAAGACTGATGCAGATTAGATCTCCACATATTGGTCTGTTTTCTGAAACGTTACCCATTAGATACCACTAGGAGGTCAGGACTAAACTCACAAGGCTGGCAACTTGCTTGTCATGTTCTTTGGTAGATTAGCTGGCCCATGATACAGGTACAAAGCTTGAGTTCATTTGGACGGTGCTTAAAACTACCAGTGTACTTCACAGTTGACCTGTTTGCAACAGTCTACTACTTTAAAACAAACACACTTCAAATATTTTAAACTTTTGATTTAGCAGGCGCGTTACTTTGCGTTTCAGAAGTTCACCATCTGCTGGGTTTACCTTTTAAGTCTCTCCACACTCCGGCTGTGCAGCCATCTGGGATGAGATAATTTGAACAGCAGACTGTTTCCTCCCATGTTACTAGAGAGGAAGAGCAGCCAAGCATGTATGAATAAAGTCTATTTCATTCTTTCAAATAAAGGTGGAGGAAGATGATTTGAAAGTTTAAAAAAAGAGAAGAAGGAGGGGAGAAAGAAAACTAAAAAGGGCAACCCCATTTTCCATGTTCAACTGCACCGTGACTACCAGTGCTGAGTCACAGTTACTATTGATTATAAATGAGCAGGAGAGAACAGAGCCTGACTTACAGATGCCAAGGTGAATTTGCAAGGCTGGCAGCTAGAAAGCCTTTTCATTTGCAAAGCAAAAAGGGGAGAGGTAGAATCAGAGCAAAACCAAGTCATTTTTCCAACCAGAGCCAGCTAAGGCATTAGCATCTCTTGTCCATCAGCTGGTGCAAACCAGACATCACCACTGAGGTCAAGTGGACCTACCTGGACTCAGAAGAATCCACGTCTTCTGCATTTTCTGTAGTAAAAACTTCATTAAGATACCAAATGCTAGCATCTTAAGCTAGATGGACACTGAAGGAACTTTAATATACAGCATCTTTAAAACATATTCTTTCACTATCAAGCGGCTTTGAAACAGTGAATCCCCTGTTCTAGTTTTTCCTAGAATAAGTCATGGTCACCTCAAATCCTTTGCTATTCAGAATACCTCAACAGGCATAGGAGGCACTAAGAAAGACTGTTAGAAACCCAAAGCCTCCACCTTATTTCTATGTTTATCAAGAAATTTGCTTTGTTCAACATGGCAAAAAGAGTCAGGAGTTGTGGCAGAAGGGGCAATACTTAAAAAGGTCACACTGTGACAATTACCACACAAGGTCCTAGAATGGGAATTCTGCAACCATTTAAAGAAAAGGTAACTCCACTCTACAGAAATAACACTCACTGTGTCATTGTCAGCTCTTTCTAAAATCTTGACAAGCCCATGCTTCAGGCATGCTGCTTGTCTTGTTTGAAGGAAGTACCACAACATACATCCTACACTCTGTCAAAAGAGTAATTCTCACCCAAAATCATCGTAAATTTGCATGACAGCACAAAGGTGAATTTGGAAGCAGGCAACAGAAGGCTCTGAGGCTTGCATGCCTCCCAAGGTGCGTAGCTTCAGTCATTTTGTAACACTAGCAACTAAACTTTGGTAAACTGGCCATGGAGAGCAATTTCTTTTCCACCTGCAAAAGGGTCAGTTACTCTGAAAAAAATTCTCATGCACAGGCATATTAAAAATAGACATTCTCCACATGAAGTTTCACACTAATAACAGACCTTTGAGAAAACTACTCATTGAAATAATTTCAAATAACAGTAAGTAGAAGGAAAAACAGGGATTTTGTATAAAAATACAGGGTATATGTATACTCGATATACAATGCTGGGGGACCAGAGAGCAGACAGCCACAGAGCCAATACCCTGCCCTACAGATGCCCACCTGGCTCATCCTGGTCTTCTCCAGTTGAGCAGGGCTCAACTCCCAAGCCATGTTTCAGCATCCAGTCTTTCACTCCTCATAGACAAACCCATAAAATCTTCTTGCTGAAATTCTCTCAAAAGGCAAGTTTGAAAAGACAGAGGATTAGAAAGCAATCGATGAGGAGTACAGCAAAGCAACAATTTACCCAGCAGGATTGTCTTGATAAAAATCTGCTCAGAGGATTTCTCTCTCACCTTTAAGTTCGTTCGTTCCCCGCTATCTCAGCCTCTGAGAAACAGCAGTCAGAGACCCTACCAAATCCAAAGCCCCAAGGGACACACACAACCCCAGTGCCCCACACAGCGTTGGACTCTGGCACTGGGCAGGCAGACACTGCTGCTTAGGGAAAGCTCAAAACCATGTACCTTGTAGTGCTGCAAACACTCACCAGGAGGAAGTGACGGAGACAAAAAGTTTAATCTATTCCTTGACCCTCAACAATTGAGGATGGAAGACGATAACTATCATGCCTGGGATATTCTGAAATAAGACCTCACTCTGAGGAAAAACAAAGTTGGGTCAAATCAAGCAAACAGAAGTGCCTTGCAAGGAGCATCCAGCTGCCTACAGACCAGACTTTTAGGAGCTGCTGAAGCTTGCCCCACCTGGCCTCTGGGCTGGCTGTGATCATAAGGAAGAGCAAACAGTCATCTGGCCAGCTGTCTGATGTACACAGAAACAACTGGACTGGATAAAGACGACAGTTCATTTTTGTAAGAAACAATATATTTTATTTTTCTGACACCACAGCCCTGGCGAGTGGTTTTGTACCAAATTTAATGGAGGTTACACAGAACGTTTTACGCTGAGGAGGAAAAAAAAATAACCACAAAAAAATCCTGGATAACTTTTAGTGTCTGTTCCACTCCCACATTAATAAAATCACTTGGGGTTTCTAAGAAAAGGAGAATAGGAAACAGTGAGAGAGACTACTGTAGAATGTAACAGTGTCCAAGTCCAGCCCCTTCCTAAGAGTGGGAAGAGTCCCCACGTGAGGAGAGGCTCTCCTAGATTTACTCCCCAAAATAACACAATGTATTGCAGCTGCCATAAGAGGAGACAGAAGGGGGACGGAGAGAGAGAGAAGCCTATTTAATAAAGAGTGGGAGGGAGAGACAGAAGGTGCTGGACAGCACGCCATAATTTGAAAAATATGTCCTTAACTTATTATTTATTTCTTTTAAAAGATTCCCCTCACTGAACTTAAGTTCCTTTTTGTGCTTTTCATTAATACTCTGCTCTGAGGTCGTAGTTTGGTTTTTCTATACATTGGAGTTGAAGGAAAATAGTCCAAAGTTCTGAAGATGGATTCTCCACCTAAAGTAAACAGCCTAGAATCCCATTCTCCTCTCACCCCAAAGACTAAAGTCTCTGCTAAAATCCCTTTTACAATATAGTACAGTACACAAAAAACCCCAAAAATAACCAAGAGTCCTGGGAGAAGCCAGTCCAAAAGACGTAAACATACAGAGAATGGTGCAACTTGTGACAAATGGCAATTCTCAAAATACAGCTACAGATTCTCAAAGCAGGTGCTGTCACGGGATACCCAAGTCCACAAAAATAATTTTTAAAAAATAAATCTTAAAAAAAAACAACCTGTTAAAATGAATAATTTTTTTTTTCAGGTAATTCCATACATTCGAGATTTCCCAAAGCGTCCTCTGGTCTCTTTTCACCTATTGCATGGCCAAACTGTACTCCTGAAGCTCCCAAAAAAGCCCTCAGGACTTGGAATCTCATCTTGACAAGGATCAGAACATCCAGTCTTATGGTAGCAGCTTAAAACATCATGTTCCCTGGGTTTCCAGGGCCTTGGCTAAATCCTCCCATGCCAACGTCAGCAGCCATACCTCGGGGCCTCATCTGGGGGGGAATCATGATGTTTTGTTGGGGTCCCATCATGCCCTGCATTGACATCATCATACCAGGTGACCCCACAGGGCCCGGGTGACTGTACAGCCCCGCGGGGGCTCGGTCCTTGCCTGGGATCATGCCCACGGCAGCCACAGGGTTACTCATGAGCGCGGGCTGGCCAGGCATCGCAGTTTGTGCTGGTGACATCATGCGGTGGTGCGGCCCCATCATGCCTTGCTGCAGGAAGGCAGGCGGTCTCATTGGGTTATGACCTGGCATGGACGGAGCGGTCCCAAGGGGGATATCTGGAGTTCCCACCGGCCCAGGGCCCCCCATGCCAGGCAACGTCAGTCCCATCCTTGGGGTCTGCTCTCCTATCATCCCCTGCATGTGGGAGATCCCAGGCCCAGGGCCCTGAGGCTGCTTGCGGCCTGGCACCTCCCCACGAGGGAAATACTGTAGTGTCTGGCTCGGCTTCTCCGATGGGATAATCCTGGACAGGTCAAACTCAGGTATTCCCGTGGCTCCAGGACGGATCACCTCCTGCAGCTCTGGATCAGTGAAAACTGAAGGCATGTTGTTTCCAAGAACAGTGAAGGAGTCTGGACCGCCAGGGCCTCCAGTCTTGCAAAGTGCTGGATCTGTCGAACTTTGGGGCAGGTTGGTAGGACGCCCCAGAGGTCCTTCTCCGTGGAAGCCCATTCCTGATTGTCCACCGCTGGGCCCGTTGTGTGGAAATGGCACCTGCTGTGGTGGGGACTGTACGGGAGGGAAACCCTGTGGGAAGCCCAGGCGTCCTTGAGGTACCATTGGAGACTCCTGGGAACCGTGCCCCATCATCGGGTTGTGTGACATCAGGCCGGGTCCCACAGGGACCCCATGAGGAGGTATATTGGGTCCCATAGCATTTGGAGAGGGCATCTGGTTGTTGTGGGAAAGAGGCTGGGTCATTCCCATAGGGCTAAGGGTTGGCATTGGACCCACTGGGTTTGGACCTGAAATTCGAGGATTCTGAGAATTAATGCCCATTCCTAGGGAAGAAATAAGGAATCACATTTAGATAACAGCCAATAACAATCAATAAAGCTATCAGAGAGCTTTCTGCAAGGTTACCAAGTCCACACACACACACAAAAATTAGTGCTAGTAAAAAAACATCAGTAGTGGCTTTGGAAAAACATTATTTTAACCAGAAAATTTATGCCACCTGCACAGCTGTCTCCCTAAGCTTGCCACTCCCCTATCAAAAAGTGACTAAAGCCTACTCTGTAAGTAGGATATGAATCCAACCCAAACCTTTACTACTTCCCCGCCAGTCTAGATGACACAGGCAGTAACAAGCATGTCTGTGACAGTTTATCAGCACACGGACACTTGTCCACTGGGAAGTGACTGGATTTCCTTTCAAAACGCAAGAAGTGATTAATCAGATAACCCTCGTAAGACTAGGAGGTGGTGATCCATGAGGTTAATGAGCTATCATCATGAACTTATTAAATTTGCCAGCTTCCCCAGGTATACACAGCCACTCTAATCATTACCTGTATGAAACAGACAGCAAAGCTACAGGTAAACTCATCAAGAATTCATTACCAATTGCTCTTCTCATGAGACATCCACTCATCCGCTCTTTCAACTATGTTAATTCAATTGGGTGGAGGGGCTACAGCCTACTTTTGTATTAAATACATACCCATGAACATTAAGCAATCAGCAAGAATTTGATTTCTCATATAAACATGCTCACCCAGATGATTCAGTGCCAAACAAAAAAACAAAAAAACAAAATCCAAAAAACTGTGAAGCTTCTGTGACACTGCCTGAAGACAGGGGAAGAATGGTTACCTCTGGATAACACATTGTAGGTCTGACCCTCATTCCCATGAGCAGCGTTCACTCACACAAGTAATTCCAGTCTGCCTGAGTGGAATTCTCTCCCATACATAAAGATTTTCCAGATTAGACACTTTCTGAAGAACAGACACTTTCTGGACAGAAAAAAACGGGTTGCAAGGAGAATTTCCATCTCCCCATTTCAGAGAATTGCAGCTGCCTTCCTCAAAAACAACGCATGACTATATATTCTTCAGATTTTTCCCTCTTGCTATCTTCATCTGATGAAGCTTCCGTAAAAATCACCCTCATCGTGTTATCCAATAGCTTGTGTTTATGTTTCTTTGAGTTTCTTACCTGGTACACTGTTCATAGGTGGCAAGTTTGGGGAGCGTGCTGGAGGGGAGTCATCATCCGAGCTGGCCACAGTTTTGATGGCATCATGATACAGCGGTGTAGAGCTGGGCATGGCAAATTTGGACATCCTGGACATCATAATGGAGAGGGGATTCTGGGAAAGGGTCGGCTCTGGAGGCATTGTGTAAGGACTGCTAGAGGGAAGATTTCCAGGGAGAGTCACAGGAGCAGACTGACTGACTGTGGAAGGAGGTGGACCACCTTAGGGAAAAAAAAAAAAAAGACTACTTCAGTTTTTTTTCCTTCTTACCATTTTTTCCCTAAATCCCATTGTTTCTGCCTAGAAATCTCAAAAACTAGAAATCCCTTTTATTGCAAGAGACTATCTGACTAATGCAGGCAATGCATGTGAAAGGCAACAAGAAAAATACGCCTATTGGTCAAGATGGTTAACATATGTTATCCTGGATTCTGCACTTGTACTAACTATCTTGAACCTTTACAAATCCACGTGAAGCATTATCAGCTAAGTATGAAAATCCTACTATTTAACTTCCATACACCGAAGACAGACTTAGGTACTAGGTCTAACCAGAAAAATCAACATCTATAGTCAATTAATTGTTCCTGCACCCACCAAATGTCAATTGTAACTCCTTTTCCCTTTTTCTTTAGGGGGCATCAAACAAGCACAGAAGACGTAGGCAGCACAACAAAAGCTGTGGCAGATACTGTTCTGGGACATGCAAGCAGATTTCTGATGAGCTGCATCAGCAGCTATGAGTAAAACTCCCTGTTTATGTTTCATTTCAGGTTTTATATACACATATCTACTGCTCATTCCAGTTAAAGAAGCATTCTCTACACCTATTAGCTTAACATCATCCTTTGCTCTCCCAAAACTAGAAATAACTTAACTGCACTTCCAATCTCCTTTATTCTTCACCGATTATTTTTGTGCCACCCAGACCACATGTCAAGGACTGCCACTGAAAATTCACTGCATATTCATCAGCCC